GGGAGGATGCTGATGTCAAATGCTTTTTCTGCATCAATTGAGATGATTTTGTGGTTTTTTTCTTCCCTCTGTTTTGCTAATGTGGTATATTATATTGATTGATTTTCATATATTGAACCATCTTTGCATTCCAGGAATAAATTGGGGCCTCTGATTTTATTTCCCTTAGTCCCTGCCCATTTCCACATGTGCCAGGGAGGCAGCAAGGAAGAGTGGAAGGTGTGTAGCACCAGCAGAATTAGTGACAGTTCCAGGTATGCTTTTGTTAGCTGTTGGGCCTTGGGCAATAGCATAAGCCTGAGCCTCTCTTTTTCTAATCTGTAAAATGGCAGTAATAACCAACATCCCATGGAGTTGTGATGTTTCTTTGAGCTAATGCTTGTAATGTTGTCTGGTGAATAAGGTGTTTTATAAATGATTGGTGATATTAACATTATCACACCATCGCCATCATCATCATCCTCATCATCATCATCATCCCCTTTGACCAATGTGGGCAGGGAACAGGAATATGCAACATGTAAGACACAGTAGCTCCCCTTTCTGTTTGACAGTCACAGATACACTGAAGGGCCCAGGGCTGAGGAACAAGAGTCCCTATCTTGATACATCTTGCCGTGACCTCCTCAACCCAAGCAGAGTAACAGGGCCATCTTAGGAATAGCACTTTGGTTTTGCAGGAGTCCATTTGGCCCTGCCTGTGTGTGTCAGTGCCCAGCCCTTCTAGAGAGATACCCTGAAGGGGCCCTTTGTGGGAGGCAGTGGCTTCTCCTTGAATGACCTTGGTGAAGGAAGAAGATTGGGCATGGTAACCAGAGGAGGTGGCTGAAGACCTTGTGGGCTGGGCCTTGGTCTGGGATAGCCGCAGGCTCCTGGTCTCTGTCCAGCAGAGACAGTGTGTCTTCTGGGCAGCAGCCCTGTAGCCAGGGAAGGGCGTGAGATGTTTTCTCCCAGGAACAGCAGCTGTCTGTTGACTTTGCCTTCTCAGACCCTGCCCTGGGGCATTTTCCTGTCTCTGCTTTTTGGGAGATCTGTGTGAGTGGGGCACACAGGACATGGTGGAGGCACCCAGGGCAGCCAAGGCCTCAGAGGGAGGAGGATGACATGAGGCCTTGCTTGATGCTTCTTCCAAAACCAATTCTCTCCTCTCAGCAGCCTCCACCTCTCCTGGCTTCACCACCTGTGTCCCTCCTTCCCATTTTCCAGCTCAGTTTCTGTGGGGACTTGGCCCCTGGGCCAGCCTCTCCCATCTTGAAGGCTCTTTCTCTTTCCTTTGCCTGCCTCTTCCACTTCCTCGGGGGCATCGCCTTTTCAGCTTCTCCTCCTCTGGACTTTCTCACTTCTCCTGCTGCCTCATGTCCTCTGTCCGTCTTGCTTCTGTGTCTCTCATGGGGGCACCCTCAGTTTGGGCCTGGGAAGATGTGTCCCTTGCTTCTGCTGTCCCAGCCAGATGTGTCCTCCCTGGGCCACCTGTCTACAGCTCTGGATGACATAGGCTGTTTGTCTTGAGGCAGGAAAAGGCAGTGGCTGGGAGCTGGTGTCAGGTGTGGGCTGAGGCCCCTCCACACCCTGTGACCACATGAGGACCCTGGAGCCTTCCAGTGGTTGGAGGACAATGTTAGGAGGAAGGAAGAGAAGGGGGAGGAAGTTACTGCGGCCCTCTCCCTAGCCCCCATCTCTGTTTCTCTTTCCATTTTCCTGGAAAAGGTAGAAATGAAGGAGGAAGCCAAGGACAGAGTTGGGGAGTGATACAGTAATGATACTAACAGGTGATGCTTCTCCAGCAGTTACTATTCCCCAGGCACTGTACCCAGCTCCGTCCACAGGCCATCTCTTTTCATTGCAAATGACAGCAACAGAACTCCTTCTAGTTTAGGTGAAACAGGGGTATATACAGTTTACAGAGCCAGACTCAGGAAGGGTGGGACCTCTGGTTTGGGAACACTGGAGCCTGAGGCACAGCTAGGAAGCTTTCCGGGCCCCTCCTCCCTGCCTCTCTCCCCTGCCAGCTCTGTACCTGTCAGCTGCTGGCCGACTTCTCCCCCGACAGACTCCTCCTCCTCCCATCCAGCAGGATGCTGAGGTCTTTTCTGCTGTGTCTTTTAGCTACAGGGGAGAAGCTGAGATTGGCAGGCTCCTGTAGACCAGCAGGGTTGGAGTAGGGGCGGAGCAGGCTCTCTTCCAAAAGGGGATGCCATTCACAGAAGAGGGGACTGATGTGGGCACAAAGACCACCTCATCAGACGCTCACTGCTCCCGAGATGCATGCTTTTACCCCCGTCTTGCAGTTACAGAAGCCAAGACTCTGAAAAGCCAAGTAATGTTCCCGAGACCACAGAGCCACGAGTGGCAGAGAGGAGGGAGAGCTGAGTGCTCAGCGCAAGGACCCTGGAGCCAGGTTGCTTGGGATTTAATCTAGGCTCTACTACTTTCTAGCTCTGGAATTTTGGGCAGGTTACTTAACCTTTCTGGCCTCAGTCTGCCCATCTGTGTAAAGGGAATGATCATAATAATAGCTACTGCTTAGGACTAGGGTAGAATGAGTTATATACGTAAACCATTTAGAACAACACTTGGCATAGCATGAGCACCTTATGAATGTTACATATTGTTATCAGAGTGTTTTACAGTTTACAAAGAACCTTCACATGTATTATCTCACTTGACCTTGATCATAGCCTTGGAAAGTGGACAAGGGAATGGACTGACAGATACTGCACTGATTCTGTGCTGCCTACACCCAATGCGCTCACCCTCGGCCTAATCAGCTGCAGGGTTCTGCAACCTGTTTTAAAAAATCCCCCACCCGAATAAACAGCTCTCTGTCCAACAAGGGAGTATCAGTGCTTTCTCAGGGGTGAGCTGGCAGGATTGTACATTCTGCTGTCTCTCTAGCACATGAATATGTGTGAAGCTAGAGATGCTGGGAGCTTGGTTGGTAAATGTTCATCCAGAGGTGGGAGCCCCTGCGTTGTGACTCTCTGCAGAACTGGTTGGACTCTCTCGGGTAGTTGTGTCTTGCGGCCTCAGCCTGCAATGACTGGGATGGGAATGAGAAAACAGGGTGGCAGCTACCTAGGGAAGCTGGGCCCTTCAAAGAACCACAGTGCAGGTGGTCCCTCATGGCTCTTTGCCCCCAACTGGATGTGATCCCTCGTTGTGAGGTGGGGCCCGAGGGCTGGAGTTTGGGGCTGGCTCTGGGATCGAAGGAAACCCATTCATAGCAGGAAAGCTCCCTGCCCTCCACCAACAGCCAGGCAGACAGAGCAGGGCTGAAGTCCAGAATCCTGCACTTATTCTCCAGGGCACCTCTCTTTCCCTGCCTCAGTTTCTTTCCCTGTAAAATGCGTTTGACGATAACAAAAGACCTTCGGCAGACGTGAAGCCCAACTCCTCACTCTCTCACACAGCAGAGCAAGCGGGTGATGAGAACAGGCCTTTCCCATGACCCCAGCTGTGCGGTGAGGGTGAGCTTGGTGCAGGTGGCTATTGCCATAGCGTGGATCTGAGTGTAGTGTATGACCAGACTAAGGATGAAAACAGGGAAGCCCCGGACTGAAAATGATCACAGACAGACTGGTCAGATGTACTGGGAGAGAGGTGGAATCTTTCTATTCCTACGACCTTAGCAAGTCTCACTGGGAGGAAAACAGGGGGAGGGCAGTCTGATTGATTTGTGCTAAGCAAGAGCTTTTGGAGACAAGGGACTGGCTCTGAAGGCTGTTTAAGGCCTCCTTAGGTCTTGGATTTCATGAAAGGGCCACAGGTGCACATTACCAGTGTGCATATACCATCGGGTTATGTTTAAGGATGAAGTGAGAATAAATATTTAAATCACTAAGAATAGTGCCTGGCCTGTATAGTTTGTCGTGATTGTAATGATTACCTCTTGTATCCAGTACAGACCCCCAGACTGGGCCTCAAGTGTGGGTTTTCATCTCAGAATTTTTAGTTCCTCTTAGTTTCTTCCGTGGCATCCGTAGAAGGGCTCCTATGATGCAGGCGGACCTCTGTGTCCAGCCTTCTGGTTCAAGGCCGCTGCCTTGGGAGTGTGCAGTGTGAGTCAGAGGTGGGCTTTGTAAAGGCACAAGGAGCTCCAACCCTGGACCTCCCTCCTCAGGGGATTCACATTCACCACCCAGTGGCTCCACAGTGTCCTGCCAAACTGGGTGTGGCTGGACCTGGGGTTGGGACACACTGGCTTGGGGCGGGAGTCTTACACAGTGCTAGGAGGCAGGAGCTGTATCTTGTAGCCCCATGAGCAAACAGACTTTTGAGCAGCCTCCCAGAAGGGGTTGAAATTGATGCAGAATTGGCCGGGTGTGGTGGCTCACATCTGCAATCCCAGCACTTTGGGAGGCTGAGGTGGGCGGATCACTGGAGGTCAGGAGTTGGAGACTACCCTGGCCAATATGGCGAAACTCCGTCTCTACTAAAAATACAAAAATTAGCCGGGTGTGGTGGCTCGCACCTGTAGTCCCAGCTACTCAGGAGGCAGGAGAATCGCGTGAGCCTGGGAGGAGGAGGTTGCAGTGAGCTGAGATCACACCACTGCACTCTAGCCTGGGACAGAGCGAGACCGTCAAAAAGAAAGAAAGAAAGAAAGAAAGAAAAAAAGAAAGAAAGAAAGAGAGAGAGAGAGAGAGAGAGATAGAGGAAGGAACTGAAGCAGAATCGACCCTCCGTTTTACAAAAACAGAGGATGAACCTGGGCCTTGGCTCTGGGTCCCTGTGGCTTGGGAACTTTGACAGGAGAGTGTTTAGGGCACAGAGTTGGGGGTGTGAGGCTGAGTGTGGTCCTTACCCCTGTTTCCAAGCTGGTGGTCACATGGGACCCAAGGTGAGGGGAGAAAGCAGCCCTGACATGGAGAGGGAGTGAGGGGTGCCGGGCTCAGCCAGGAGGGACCCTGGGAAAGCCCCCTGGAGCTCTGCTGGACATACATCCCCCGAGTGGATGATGACTGTCCTTTTGTCCTTCATTTTCCTTTTAATCCTGCAAGAGAACTTCAGCCAGAGCATCTGAGATGGGAAGCAGAAAAAGGATGGGCAGTTAGGAGAGGAAAAGCACAGCTGTGTGTGAGTAGGGAGGTATTTTGGTTGGATGCCAAGGGCACCCGGATGCCCCAGCCTGGATGGGAAGTAGGGAGACGCTGGAGTGGGGCTGGGGTGGGGTGCCAGGGAAGATCAAGGAGAAGAATATCCAGCCTCTCTAGTACTGAGGCCTCTCTGGGATTCTTTATCATTTGTCTGAAAGCATTATGAGGCTTCAATTCCCATAAAAATAAAACACATTCCAAAGCCAAGCCCAGGGTTTGGGCATTCTCTGCTGGTTTGTACTGACCACTCCCCCAAGTCCCATTCATGAGCATGGAGAATAGAGAACTGACGGTAAGGCTGATAGAGTGCAGGTACGGCCCTTTCATGGAAACAGAGGGCTAAGGAGGCCTTAAAAAGCCTTCAGAGCCAGTCCTTTATCTCCATGAGGTCTTGCTTAGCACAAATAGATCAGACCACTCTCCCCGTTTTCCTCCTAGACAGTAAGACTTGCTAAGGTCTTAGGAATATAAAGATTCCTGGGCTGGTTGTGGTGGCTTATGCCTGTAATTCCAGCACTTTGGGAGGCTGAGGTGGGCGGATCACGAGCTCAAGAGATCGAGACCATCTTGGCCAACATGGTGAAACCCCGCCTCCACTAAAAATACAAAAATTAGCTGGGCGTGGTGTCACGTGCCTGTAATCCCAGCTACTCGGGAGGCTGAGACAGGAGAATAGCTTGAACCTGGGAGGTGGAGGTTGCAGTGAGCCAAGATCGTGCCACTGCACTCCAGCCTGGGCTACAGAGCGAGACTCCGTCTCAAAAAAAAAAAAAAAAAAAAAAAAATTCCACCTCTTTCCCAGTACATCTGACCAGTTTGTCTGTGATAATTTTCAGTCTGGGACCTCTCTGTTTTCATTCTTAATTTGACCTTACGCAATGCAGATCCATGCTGCAGCACTAGCCACCTGCGCCAAACTCACCACATCACCCGGGGATAATGGGAAAGACCTGTTCTCATCACCTGTTTGCCGTCCTGTGTGAGAGAGTGAGCAGTTGGGTCTCATGCCTCCAGAAGACCCGTTCTAGACATGATTCCATCCCTTGCCTTCCCTGAAGCCAGCACCGTCCCCTCCCATCTCCAGTCCACGGTTGTTTTTCAATCCAAGGAGGCTGTCAGTGGCTTCCCTCCTGCCCTCTCATGTCCCTGGCCACCCCATTCCTGCAGGGCCTCGCCTTCTTCCCTGGCTCCAGCCGGGCTGCCCCACTTCCCTTTGGCATTGCTCAGCCTTCCTTTCCCGTGTTCCTCCTGGCCGCTGCTCTGCCAGCCCTGTCCTGCCCACCTCCCAATCCCAGCACATCAAAACAGCAGTCAGGAGTGGGAGGTGTATGTTCTGAGCCCTGCCCCGCCCCTGAATAACTGGATGAATCAGATACCTCATCTCTCTTTGGGCCCCCATTTTCACAAATAAAAAGCAGGAGCCCAATCACTGTAACCGACTGTGATGAGTTGTGTGATGCTAACTCCAGCTGGTAGACCTCACATCTTGGTTATACTCAATATATACACAGTCGAATCTTTTTTTAATAGACTTCTTGTTTGCAAAGATCTAGATACGTCATAGGCTAAATCATATCCCTTCGCATATAATAATAGTCTAGGATAACCAGTTAGACTAAACTGTGGGGCCTAGGCATTCTGCGACCCCATCAAAGGCCCCATTCTGGGATGATCTGTCTGAAGTGAGACCTCATCTTTCTTTGGGGCATCCTGCTAAGACCCAGGCCCGATGACCCCTCAGGGCTTGTCATCCGTGGGCTGAGCCTGCAGGAAAGCAAGCAGGTGGGATGCCAGGGGAGGCGAGTGAAGCTTCGGGAGCAGGGGGAGGGAGGGATGAGGGTGAGATAATGAAGTTTCACTGTAATTTGGAGCCTCTGCATTTTCAAGGGAGGTTGTTTCTGAGTTATTTTCACAATGGTACTGGGTATTCTGATCTACCTCACTGCTGTGTGGAATCAAAAATAATAGAGCATGTTGCTATATCATCAACTAGTGGCTTCTCTTTCTGAGCAGTTTTTACCCAGCAATTAAATGAAATTATGTGACTCAGTATGGGAAGATAATTGCCGGAGAAACTCTTCTGATTGCTTTCTCCCGCACATGCAGCCAGCAGCCAAGCAGGAGGATCAGAGAGGAAAATTAACATGGAAGTGCTGCTGCCACCCGAAACCTCAGCTGCTTGCCAATGTGGAGATAAACGAGAGCATGGAAAGGAGAGGAAAAATGAGCGGAAATGGAATTTGTTCTCATAATACACTCTAGAGGAGGCAGCAACATGTGATTGGTTCCATTCTCCAGATGGGGAGAGTGATCCAAATGGTCTAGAGGGGAAGAGTTGGGCAGCAGGAGAGTGATGCAGCCAGGGAGTCCCCCACTCCAGCAGTGATGATTTCTCAGGGCCCCTTTGCCGGCGAGCCAGGTCCTCAGGCCCCCAGGCAAAGGTCCAGGGCCCAGTGCCCATGCAGCAGTGCACGCCCTGTTCCTGTGCCCTCTCCACTCACTTCAGCCTTGGATCTCCCTCCCCCAGTGACTCCTCCTTCCTCTCTTCCATCTACCCCTTAGACTCTCTCGCCCGGAACTGAGATTTATCACTGCCAAGCCTCTTATCCTCCCCACCCCAGCCAGCCTCCAGCAGCCTGGCTTCCTCCCTGGAAGGAGGGAGAAAGGAATGTGTGGTCACTGGGAGGGTGGGAGGTGCGGAGGGGTGGTACATGAGATGGAAGGGAAGCCAAGCTGGGTGCAGCAGTGAGACAAAGGCATTCTGTGGCCCTTCAAAGGTTCTGTGTGTGTACTTGGCCACTCCACTCAGGGGCAGCGTCAACAGTATCACCGATGAGATTTTTTAAAATGGGTTTAGGGCCCACCTCCCCCGCCCCCGTGGGGGCCCATGCTGAGGTGTGGTTGATGTAGCCCAGGCTGGGACAGCAGCTTGGAGGAGTAGAGAATTGGTCACTTTTCAAATTTGTGACAGTATTTCTTTTCACACTGTAACTTGATCAGAAATATTTTCTTTAGAATACAAAGGCAGGTCTTAACTCTTTAGCTTGGCACTCAAGAGCCTCTGCAATCTGATTCCAACCCTCTTATCTGAGTTCTCACCACCTACCCCGTCATGCTTTACTCCAACTGGGTTGTTCACTGTTTTGGAAGGTATCTTACACTAGAAATGGCAGCTACTTGGTAGGTTGCTGTCACAGCTCCCTCACAGGCAATGCAGACATTACTGGTGGATGAAGGCCATCTCCTGTTGGACCTCATTTGGGGAAGCCACTTTGGACAGCTACTATGGAATGAAATGCCTTAAGGCGAAACTTGAACTGATCTTGAACTTGAACTGTATCTCATTTGTTATTCCTACTTCCTGTTTCCCCTCTCACTGCTTTTGCTCATGCTGTCTTCTCTGCCGGAATGCGTTTCCTCTACTCTCTCCCTCCCCTTGTCTATCAAAATCCTACCCTGCTCTTAAGGTTCAGCTGGAATGTCAGTTCCTTCATAGAAACTTCCCTGGCTCCCTGTTGAGCTCTCTGCTCCCCCTTCTCTCTGGACTATTGTTGCATGGCGTCTCTACCTCTTGGGAAGTTCTCTTCATATTTGCTGATGGATCAGAGCCCTTTGCCACCAAATCCTACCTCTCCTTGGTAGCTGAGGCTGTATCTTGTTCACCTACTTATCCTTTGCAGAGCCCATAATAGTATGGTCCTTTCTAGCAGTTCAGTGTTTACTTGTATAATGGATTCGAACCTGAGAATCAATGGAGGTGATTGTTGGAGTTTGAAAGGAAGGCACAGCAGCAACCTGAACTGCTGCGCATTGTGCCTGGTGGCCCAGAGCCATTGACATGTGCTTTCCCTATTCCCAGGGGGCAGGAGGAGCCCTATTGCCAACACCACAGGCCCTCTTCCGGCTAGAGCTGGTCAAGAAGACACTATGGGAAGCCTGGTCCATTTGTCCCTCCCTCTGTTGCCTCACATCCAATATTCACACCATGGCCCCCAAGATTTGAAGACCTTAATGTGTTGTTTCATCTTCCACATCTTGACTCCAGTCTCACTCCTCACTGGCTGAGCAAGGGGCAGGTGTAATTTGGAGATGGGACTTGGGCTAGGAAGTAGCAGTAAAGTGGAGAAAGAAAGAGAGAAGGAGAGAGGGAGGGAGATGTTTTACAAATAGCAGATGCTCAAAACTTACTTTATTTCATACTTTGATTGAAGATATTTTAGGACTGTATGACTGCCTGAATCATAAGGGGACTTTCCATTATAAAATAATTAATCCCAGGTTTATTATTACACAGCTTGGTTTAAAGAAGGAATGAAAATCATCCAATCATAAGTCACCATTACTCTCCCCACACCAAACACTACCAAAAAGACAAAACAAAACAAAAACCCCATGAGATAACTGGGCCAGGCATGGTGGCTCATGCCTGAAATCCCAACACTTCAGGAGGTTGAGCCAGAAAGATCACATGAGGTCAGAAGTTCGAGACCCAGCCTGGCCAACATGGTGAAACCCTGTCTCTACTAAAAATACAAAAGTTAGCTGGGCATGGTGGCGCGTGCTCGTAGTTCCAGCTACTAGGGAGGCCGAGGCGGGAGGATCACTTGAACTCGGGAGGTGGAGGTTGCAATGAGCCGAGATTGTGCCACTATACTCCAGCCTGAGCGACACAGTGAGACTCTATCTCAAACAAACCAAAACAAAACAAAAACTAGCACTGGAGTATGTAAAGCATAGCCAGAACTTAAGCCATAGTTGCACTTAGAGTGAACACTCGTTGACATTACTGCATTCTGTAGGCTAATCAGCATTGAGCCCATCTAGGTTGGGAAGCCAAACCTGAGACTACCTGCATGAAGCCGAGAACCATTGAGAGGGACTAAAGTGATCTCAGGTTGGTATCTGCTGGCCCCAGGCTGCCCCCAGCCATGAAAAAGCAAAACAAATGCTCTCTGAAAGAAAGTGCCCCATTTTAGGACT